ATAAAACTCAACTCAACTAATCCGATCAATCGGTTCAAGTTTTTGTCGTACTTTTAACTTAATTCATTACAACTCATTAAAAATTGGGTTGATATGCAGTCCAAATTGACTCATGTGGAATCTTGTTGAAACATTTTAATTTTTTTTTAATTTCATATGTCATATATAGCCATAATAAAGAGAGAGAAAAACATTTTATTGGTTATTAAATTTTTTCTAAAAGAATAGATAAAGCAATTAAAACTTAGTAAGAATTGGACGGCTTAAGTTATGACCCACTTTTCAACTCAGGTAGCTTTTGCGCGAGTCAATAACTCTTCCATTTATTAACTTAGCTCAATTTGACTCACTCAAATTCAACGCAACCCATCCATTCGACACCTCTAATGTAATTGCAACCCATTTAGGCTGCGGACTCCTCATATATATATATCCCCACTAGTAAACTTTGTATGAAACAACATTAGTTAAGTAATAGCATCTTCACAGAGTTCAACAATTATTTCTATTAATGAATTTCATATGGCAAAAGAACTTTTAATTATGTAGTAATAGAATTCTAGGTTGTTTTCGGACTTTACTTTGTGGGACTATATTGGGTGTGTCGTTGTTGTCTAACTCTAGGTTGTTTAAAGAATTTCATATGGAAAATACTTCATTACGAACACTTGTAGGGAATTCTCAATAGTCCATTCGAGTATGGAATGTATTGTTGTTAGGAGCTTATACACAAGTAGTAATGTAAGAATCCAAGCATGTCAAAAAACAGTGTCATTAAGCTGGATATTTCAGCCGATATAGATGTACAACAAGTTCTTCTAGTATAAAATTAGGAGTAACAAAGATAGACAAAAGAAAACCCATCAAAAGAAAATAGAAGTGAATGTATTTGTCTTTTAAAAACTCTATCAAGAAAAAAACTTTGTATTTTCAACTATCTCCCAAATGAAAACATTTAGTAATATATAGCTTGTAGCAATAGATCGATATAGAAAAATGTGAATAGCTCTTATTTATTTAATAAAAAAACTGATATTCAAGAGTTGGTGAACTTGCAGAAGATGGCTCAAAATGACATTGACAATGTGTTAGATCAGCTGAGATGGTACAAGAGTGGAGGTGATTTGGCTAGAATCAGGATTGGTGTAATTGAGATGCTTGAAATAAACCTAAGATTTTTTAGAACCTTTATAAAGTACCATCATGTTCTTTTTCCTAATTCGTTGATCGAACTCAGGCAGACGTTCAAATCGATTGTGGAATTGCTTCCCGTAGTTTTTCGTGGAATTCCAGATGAACGCAAAATTAACCTTAATCTGGAAAGGCTGGAATCATATATACTTGCTAGAGTTCATTGAAGGTAATACCATTTTAAGGTACAATTATGAGTTGAATGATTCCTATTTGTCGGAATATATGGACTGGCTCGGAAAGAATCTAAATTATGTACTGGTGTTCCTGGAATTCTTTCCTCCTCAGAATAAAGCAAACTTTGAAATAAATGGAATTATAAAGCAAGTGAAAATCATTCAAAAGAAAATGAGATTTTTGGGTTACTTATATGCAACAGAGATAAATGGTTTCATCCACCATGAGAAGCTGGAGTTTTTAGAGACTCGAATTCAGTTCATGGCTAACAATGTGGAACAGTTTTGTCGTTCATGGCTAACAAGCCTCCATATCTGTTATGCCTGATTGTGCTAGTGGAGCTGGAAATGAAGAAGATTTTTCTTGGTGAACTAAAGGCTTCAAAGTTTACTCAATCAAGAACTTTTAAGGACAACAAATTGCCAAAAGGACTCTCACATCATCTCCACAGTCTTCTGATGTACCTTAAAAACAAAAAGCTCGAGAACTTTCCTAATTATGTTTCCGCTCGAAATATTGATGTAGCAATAGAGTTCTTGTTGGTTTTCCTTAATGCTGATGTGTCAAATCATGCTATTGATGGTAACTGGTTGAATGATGTTATGGAAAAGGTTGGAGCTATAGCGGGTGATGTTCTATACATAATTCAAAAGCTTCTACCTAGCTCTATAAACAAAGATGACACTAGCAAAATCAATATTTGGTCGATACAGATATTGGAGAAAACTAAAGATCTTAAGGCACAAGTGGAGACGTACTACAAATCCTTAAAATTCACTCCATCTCAGTTTCCCACTGCTGGTGGATTGTGTTTTCTGGAGTCTCTTTTAAGGAAATTGAATGAGATGTCGAAATCTAAATCATGTTTAGATTTCATGATGAAACCTCATATCGGTAATTTAGAGAAAGAGCTATCATCTCTTACATCCATCTTAGAGGAGGAGTTGTCATCTTTATCATCCATTTTCAGAGATGTTGCAAAGGCACACCATGAACATAAAATTCCTAAAAATCTTCATAGGCGTACTATCAATTTGGCATATGAAGTTGAAGTTGCCATTGACTCTATTCTTGTTCAGTATAATGTTCTTTGGCATATTTTTTGCTCACTTCCTTCAATCTTAAAAGAGATCAAGCACATTTGTCTTGGATGATATGTGGGATGGCACGACATGGGATGACTTAAGGCTTTCCTTTCCAGATGTTGGAAATAGAAGCAGAATAGTAGTAACAACTCGACTTGAGAAAGTGGGTGCCTATGTCATGCACCATATTGATCCGTACATCCTTCCATTTCTCACACCAGAAGAGAGTTGCCAATTGTTGCAGAAAAAAATATTTCAGCAGGAAGGTTGCCCACCTGAACTACAAGATGTGAGTCTAGCAATTGCGAAAAGATGCAAAGGATTGCCTCTAGTAGTTGTCTTGGTTGCTGGAATAATCAAAAGGAAGAAAACGGAAGCCTCTTGGTGGGATGTGGTTGAAAAATCTCTTCTTTCCTCTCATGGTGAATCTGAAGGATACAGTCCGTCAGTTGTGCAGTTAAGTTATGATAACTTACCTGACCATTTAAGACCATGCCTTCTTTACATGGGGATGTTTCTGGAGGACACAAAAATTCCAGTGTCTAAATTGATAAGTTTATGGATTGCGGAAGGTTTCGTGCAGAACATTGAATCTGGGAGAGTAATGGAAGAGGCAGCGGAAGGTTACTTGATGGATCTCATCCACAGTAACGTGGTAATGGTTTCAAAGAGAAAATATAATGGTAAAGTCAAATACTGTCAGGTTCATGATGTGGTGCTTCACTTTTGCTTGGAGAGGAGTAGAGAAGAGAAGTTTATGCTACTAGTAAAGGGGCATTATAGCCACCAGTTTCAACCTTCTGAATGGAAGGAAAGTCGAGTGAGCTTCAATTACAGTAATGAGCTTTCCAAGTTTGCATCTCTGAGATCCAAAACACGGAAAACTTTCAATCAACACTTGAGGTCATTGATAATGACGAATGGAGGTCTATTTCATATCTCATATACTTGGGATCCCTTCCGTCAGTGTAGTAAATTGAGACTTGTTAAGGTCTTGGATTTGAGTTCTCATAAAGTGGAGTGTTTGTCGTCAGCTACATTGCAACCACTAATTCACCTGAAGTACCTTGCACTTCACACAAGTAAATTTGATTTTCATCCAGAATCACATCTTCCCAATCTCGAAACTTTGATTGTGAATTGTTATGCCAACACTATGCTGTTACCAGGGACTTTTTGGAAAATGGAAAAATTAAGGCATGTTGACATGCATTTGCCTGAATTTGATAAGCAAGGGATCTTTGAAGAATCCTCTAAATTGGAAAATTTGAGGATATTAAGGGCAGTTGTAATTGAAATTGATAGGGTGTATGTGTTATTAGGGAAGTGTCCTAATGTTCAAGAACTTCGAATCAGGTTTAAAGGCGATAGAAAATCCAGAGAGCCTTTTTGTCCCACATTGGAGAGTCTTACCAAGCTTCAATCAGTTTTCATTTCCTTTATGGGGTCCCCAATTCCATCGGAGTTACACTTACCTTCAAATTTTAAAAAACTGGTATTAGATGGGATTCATGTAGAAAAAGCAATTTATTTCACCGTGGGACTACCAAATCTGGAGTGTCTCCATTTAAGGGATTTCACTCATTCCAAAGAGTGGTACCTTCCTATAGATATCACACTGCATAAACTTAAGTTCTTGAAACTGTCCTACTTACGTATCTCAAGGTGGAATGTCTCGGAGGAATCCTTTCCCCTGCTTGAAACACTTGTTATAAATGGGTGTAGTGAGCTTGAGGATATCCCGTTAAGCTTTGCAAATATTCTAACACTGAAACAGATTAAGTTGATGTACTCTGGGAACGAATCACTGGAGGCATCAGTTGAGAGAATTAAAGAAGAAATCACAGAGAATGAAGGATGTGACCGTCTTAACGTCATCCTTATCAAAGTAAGTTAAAAAACAAACTCCTATCCTATGTGCTGCTTTTAACTTTTAAGTATCTAATTGATAACAATGTATTTAACACAGTGAGGAGAGCTATCACTGGTCTGGCAGCTCTTAGTAACCACAACAATGGTATTGTTTCAGTTTTTTCTTTCTAATTATTCAATGCTTGCTTTCACTTAATTTCTCCGTGTTGATCTCAAACTAACGAGGATGTGTTCGAATTTGACAATTGCTTAGACAACTGCAGCAAAAGCACAGACATGTTGCAGCCATGCTCATGCTGAAGTCTATTGTGCGGCTAGCAGAAACGCCCAACCTCTCATGAACTCATTTTCTGTATGTTTTAGATGATCGGAGACCAATATATATCACATGATCTGTCAAAACATTGTTTCGTTTTGTCTCTGGAATGTGATGGTTGTTTTCCCTGTTAATTCTATAATCCCTTCATCTTTCACCTTAATTACCACATTCATGTTCTTAAGCGCGATCCTATGTTTTCTTCTGCTTGCTTTGTATATGATACTTCATTCCTTTAATATAACAAGAAGGTAGATTGACTTATTCGTCGTGCCAATCCTTATTTACTACTAGTAGTAGTAGTACATCTTTTTAAACAGTTGGGTCTAGCGTGGCGTTATATGCATCATTTCATGTATATATAATGTAACTTCCATTGATTGATAAGAAAAAGGGAAAGTGTGACCATGGAAACAATTGAGAATAAAATTCATACTTATTATGAATTGAAATGACAACTTGAAGTAATCCTCAAATTATTTAGTAAAAGCAAACAACAAAAAGGGCAATGTATATAAACAGAGCAACATATGAACCTCTTAGTAATGCAATTGGAAAAGCTTCATGATCACCTTGGAGCATCAACCTCCAATGTGAGTCCAGTGCTTGCAGCTGACGGTGCACGCGCCACACCTGAACTTTGGATTTGGCTCATTTCACGGCGTCCATTCAAATTTCCCCCCTTGCAAAATGCTGGCAAATACACCCCTGCCACAATATATGAAAAGTTATTGACACATTCTTTTTGACACCTAAATACAAAGGAAATCTATAGCTTATTTACTAAAAATAGACGATTTACCTTGTACACGCTGACAATGTTAAAAAAACTCTTAGATCATAGATATTAGTGTTATCATTTTATCAAGTTACAATTATATAATACTTATAAATGACATCTTTCAGTTGACCTGATAGTGCGTAGAAGTTAAGTTCAAAAGACATTTGAAGTAATGAAATGTAATCCTACCTTCTCCCAAAGCCAAATTGTAGTAAAGATCAACAATGTTAGGGCACTTTTGGTAGCATTGTTGAGAGCAAAGATTAGAGGTGAATGATGATTCAAGAAGGGAATCAGAAGAAATGCCAAGAGAGTTTCTATCAGCTCCACAAGCACTAATGCACTCATCACTTTCAATCAAATTTGTTATGTCAATATTGGACACCAACACCTCTGAGGTCTTGCATTGGTACCCTCTTCCTCCCTCAATTGATTCATAACTCTCCAAAGAGCAACGCTTCCCTGACGAAGCAACTGAGTAGGCACACAGTCCTACTGACAAATCTTCACACACAATTTCACCTGTATTTTCGAAGCATGATAATACGAAACAAGATTTAAAGTCAGTGGATTCAGAATACAAATGAATGTAATTATGCTTAAATTATGGAGGAACTCATAAGTCTCCTAGACTAGTATTTATCTACGTTTAAAAAATATGTATATAAAAGAAGATCTAGTACGTACCACTACCAAGAGCTCCATGGACAAGAAGTGAGAAACCAAGGAATATAGTAATGAGTTCCATATTTTGTAAACAAGAAAATTAAATGCCTTTTCTTCTTAGTGAAAGTATGTAGAATAAGTAATTCAAGAAGAGAATTTAGTGATGAGAGATATGGAATAGAATGAGCTTCTTTATATAGGCAAAATTTAGATGAGTCCAATATTTTTAGTGTGGTTCAAATGCTATTAGAAACAGAGGTTTTTTCAATTGTGAATCAATGAAAAAATTAAATTATAGAACATGATTTTTTGCATCCATATCTGCCGAACCAGCTCACTGAAAAAAAAACATATAGTGAGAAACAAATTTTCACGACAATACTGAAAGATTTCCTAATTTTTCCGTGTGAAAATATTACTCCCTCCGTCTCATTTTATGTGGCACCTCTTTTTGGTTCGTCCCAAAAAGAATGTCAATGTACAATAATTGGAAACAATTTTATTTTAAAATATTCATTTTACCCTTAATGAAATGATTTTCAACCACACCAATATTTAAGAATTGTTTTAGACCACAAATTCCAAAAAAAAAATATTCTTAAATATCATGTCAAGTCAAATGGTGCCACATAAAATGAGGCGGAAAAATATTATTTTTCTTTTTTCTCACTAACATTTTCCGATCAGAAATTTGAGATTTGTTTTAGTAGTGAGAATAATTGTTAATACATTATCAGTAGCGTAGACAGAATTTTGCACAAATGATATCGGTCCCATAATTTGGATTGTGCGTGGGTTTGGGACTAGAAATGTAGTGGCCTTAGATCATGTTCCAAAATCCAAATTGATATGTTACTCTTTATTCAAAAAGTGTATATATTTACTATATATTAGAAGAGTCCAGGATTTACTACCATTCTTCCAATTAAATCATTACAAATGTCCAATACTTACTATATAAAATATATAAGTGGGCCCCACCTCCTTCCACTTAGATAATATTTTTCAACCTTATCATGGTAAAAGTTGAATTTATTATCCTTTTCATTTAATTTTATATGATATTATTTTTTCTATAAAATCATTATATATGTTTTAATAATTTAAATTTCAAAAACATTATAATTTAACTTTAAAGATTTTATTTTATCAAAATCTTGTACATTGAAATATATAGTTATGAATTTAAAATATTTTTAAAATCATATAAAAATTTCAATAACTTCTCAAATTCCATAATATAACACTTAAATACTACATATTATATATTAATTACTATACTATAAATGACTTAAATACTTCATATTATCTATTACAATAATTAACAATTATTTGACACTTTAAATTCTATCAATGCCATATAAATTAGGATAAAAAACCTAACATATAATATTTAAATATATTTAAAAATAATATAAGTAATACTATACATTACAATAATTAACAGCTTCATTATTTAAAACTTATATAAAAAATTTAATTGACTCTCTAAATTCTATTGGTACCACATAAAATAGATTATATAATAAACATATATTGTTTGAAATTGACGAAAAAGAAACAATAAATTACAATAATTAATAAAAAAATAGTCCACTCCAAAAAATCTATCAATTAACAACATATATTGTTTGAAATTGACGAAAAAGAAACTATAAATTATAATAATTAACAAAATAAATCTCTCGACTCCAACAAATCTATCAATTAATGCCACATAAATTGGGACATGGCAAATAACATATAGTATTAAAAAATTAGGTTCAAAATGTACTAAAAAATACAATAATTAACAACTTAATATATTAAAGAGACATAAAAAAGGGTTAATATTTAAAATTCTGCATGTGCCACATAAATTAGAACAAATAGAGTAATAAATATTACTTTCAAAATTATGTTAAAAAAAGTACTACAAATCACAATAGCTAACAATTTAAAATATTTTTAAAATCATATAAAAATTTCAATAACTTCTCAAATTCCATAATATGACATAAATTTTTTTAAAAAGGGTTATAAATCATAATAAATAGTACAATATTTAAACTACTTTAAAAGCATTATAAATTGTAATAAATAATACAACAATTTAAATTACTTAAAATTTAACGACTTAAAAATATTTTTTTAAAATGTATTAAAATTTTGGTTAATTGTCAAAACTTTACATGTGCCACATAAATTGGGACATGGACAGTCACACATATTTTTTTTTAAAAATTACATTAAAAGTATTCTATCAATTAACAACATATATTGTTTGAAATTGACGAAAAAGAAACTATAAATTACAATAATTAACAAAATAAATCTCTCGACTCCAACAAATCTATCAATTAATGCCACATAAATTGGGACATGGCAAATAACAAATATTATTAAAAAATTAGGTTCAAAATGTACTATAAAATACAATAATTAACAACTTAATATATTAAAGAGACATATAAAAAATGGTTAATATTTGAAATTCTGCATGTGCCACATAAATTAGAACAAATTGAGTAATAAATATTATTTTCAAAATTATGTAAAACAAAAGTACTACAAATCACAATAGCTAACAATTTAAAATATTTTTAAAATCATATAAAAATTTCAATAACTTCTCAAATTCCATAATATAACACTTAAATACTACATATTATATATTAATAATTATACTATACTATAAATAACTTAAATACTCCATATTATCTATTACGATAATTAACAATTATTTGACACTTTAAATTCTATCAACGCCATATAAATTAGGATAAAAAACCTAACATATAATATTTAACTATATTTAAAAATACTATAAGTAATACTATACATTACAATAATTAACAGCTTAATTATTTAAAACTTATATACAAAATTTAATTGACTCTCTAAATTCTATTGGTACCACATAAAATGGATTATATGATAAACATATATTGTTTGAAATTGACGGAAAAAAAACAATAAATTACAATAATTAATAAAAAAAATAGTCGACGAAATTGACGAAAAACAAATTATAAATTACAATAATTAACAAAATAAATCTCTCGACTCCAACAAATCTATCAATTAATGCCACATAAATTGGGACATGGCAAATAACATATATTATTAAAAAATTAGGTTCAGAATGTACTATAAAATACAATAATTAACAACTTAATATATTAAAGAGACATATAAAAAAGGGTTAATATTTGAAATTATGCATCTGCCACATAAATTAGAACAAATAGATTAATAAATATTATTTTCAAAATTATGTTAAAAAAATACTACAAATCACAATAGCTAACAATTTAAAATATTTTTAAAATCATATAAAAATTTCAATAACTTCTCAAATTCCATAATATGACATAAATTTTAAAAAAAAGTGTTATAAATCATAATAAATAGTACAATATTTTAACTACTTTAAAAGTATTATAAATTGTAATAAATAATACAACAATTTAAATTACTTATTACTTAAAATTTAACGACTTAAAAATATTTTTTTAAATGTATTAAAATTTTGGTTAATTGTCAAAACTTTACATGTGCCACATAAATTGGGACATGGAGAGTCACACATATTTTTTTTAAAAAATTACATTAAAAGTATTCTATCAATTAACAACATATATTGTTTGAAATTGACGGAAAAAAAAACTATAAATTACAATAATTAACAAAATAAATCTCTCGACTCCAACAAATCTATCAATTAATGCCACATAAATTGGGACATGGCAAATAACATATATTATTAAAAAATTAGGTTCAAAATGTACAATAAAATACAATAATTAACAACTTAATATATTAAAGAGACATATAAAAAAATGCTTAATATTTGAAATTCTGCGTGTGCCACATAAATTAGAACAAACAGAGTAATAAATATTTTTTTCAAAATTATGTTAAAAAAAAGTACTACAAATCACGATAGCAAAAAATTTAAATTTTTTTAAAATCATATAAAAATTTCAATAACTTCTCAAATTCCATAATATGACATAAATTAAAATAAAAATATATATATATATATATATATTACTAAAAGTGGGAAGAATCTATGTCAAAAGTTGAATTACAAAAATACCCTTTAAATCACTATTATTCCCTTTAAGTATTAATTTATCATCACTATTACTATGTGGAAGATGTAAAGATTGTTGGTTTTTTCTTGCTAATAATAATTTGCAATTTAATAATGAGTATTGAATTGTAAGTCTAGATGGAAATAGGAGTATTAATTACTATAATACGAACAGTCAAAAATCATTGAATTCCAAAATAAATATCAAATGAAAAAAATAATATTTTAAATAATTTCAAGAAAATAAATAAATACTTAAAGGATATTTTCGTAATTCAACTTTTGACTTATGTTCTTCCCACTTTTATTACTCAGCCCCCAGTCGAAAAGGCCATTGAGGGTAGTCAAGAAGAGAAGCAAGACACAAAGGTTTCAAGCACCAAGCAAAGTTCATAAAACCATAAATGCAGTTTGTCTCATTTTATGTGGCACCCTTTTCTTTTTGGTTCATCCCAAAAAGAATATCAACGTACAATAATTAGAAATAATTTAATTTTAAAATACTCATTTTACCCTTAATGAAATGATTTTCAACCACACCAATATTTAAAAATTGTTTTAGACCACAAGTTCCAAAACTCTTTTTTTTTCCTTAAATATCATGTCAAGTCAAATGGTGCTACATAAAATGAGGCGGAAAAATATTATTTTTCTTTTTTCTCACTAACATTTTCCGATCGGAAATTTGAGATTTTTTTTATAGTGAGAATAATTGTTAATACATTATCAGTAGCGTAGACAGAAATTTGCACAAATAATATTGGTCCCATAATTTGGATTGTGCGTGGGTTTGGGACTAGAAATGTAGTGACCTTAGATCATGTTCCAAATTGATATGTTACTCTCTATTAAAAAAGTGTGTATATTATGTACACATAAAATATTAGTATTTCTTTAAGATAATGTTTTACGTACAATTTTTTTCACTTTAATAGGGTAAGGTTGTATAATTTTTTGGTTTTATTTAGATTGTTCTTATCTTTGGAATTTGGCAAAATGGAAGCAATTTGTATTCAAATTTTCTGCCGAATATTGAGGC